ATTTTTTTATTTCAAGGGATGGCATTTTGGTGTTCGCCAACCAACTATTTGTTCTTATTTGGGTGGAAAGATTTCTCATGACTAGATTTGGAATTAAGTAGGAATTCGATTAAATATGAAAAGTTTTACCTTTTTCTATAACTGCTATACTGAGTTCTTGAATCTTATTCATAATCTGTACTATTTATCATACAAATCTCTGGAAGTCAAGAGTCCGTCAGGACAAATGTTTCACATCACTTGCCCTAATGGAGGGCTTCATAAAAAAGGCGGTCTCTATATTTAGTTTGAGGCAGCATTGCTTTTCCAGAGACTGATTTATACTTTTTTCCCCATCATGCACAACCATTTAAATCCATATATATATATATATATATATATATATATATATATATATATATTTTTTTTTTTTTTTTTTAAGAATGAGGCAACTGTATTGAGCAAGAGACTTTAATAGTCAGTCATTCATGAAGTAGTGTAACTAAATTCCAATAAGAATTAAAAGCAATCTTCTTGGTCATGAAGAAACTGCAAATTAAACCACAGTTGTAACTCCCACCCACCAGAATGGTTGACACTACCTGTTGGAGAAGATGTGGAGCAGGCAGAACTCTTATTTAAAAAAAAATGTTTTGATTTCAGAGAGAAAAAGAGAGGGAGTCAGATTGGTTGCCTCCTGCATGCCCAACATTGTGGATTTAGTCCGCAAGCTGGGCATGTGCCCTGACCTGGTTCATAGATCGATGCTCAATCACTGAGCAGCTGCGGCTGGGCTATTGTCTTATCTTTTTTTTTCTCTTCCTGTTTTAACCTGAAATAATTTTGTTGGTATTTGAATTGCGTTCAGTCGGGTATTTCCTTGAAACCACAAAATTCTCTTTCTGGATTATCATAGTACAAAAGCCCTTCTCTCCTGCTTCTCTCCCCACCTCCCCCATGTCTGTTATCTTTTAATAAAGTTTGCTAAAAAGAATCAATTGTAGCCCACAATTCCCCATTTGATCAGTGTCTAAAGAGTAATGGAGGGTGTAAATATGTAACCTTGTCTTAATTCTGTCATTATAAAGCATTATGGTTAATTGTCCTTGATTTTTTATTGAATTTTCTATTTTGTAGTCATGTATGTTTGAAAAGTCAACAAGTTTTTAAAAAAAAGTTTGGTTCTGAGGGCTAGATGACTTTCATTTGCTTTTAGAATCTTCTAAAAGCACTTATAAAGCTCTCCCACAACTTTTATAGCCTTTTCTCTGTATGTATTATTGTCTCGGCTGTTATAATTTCCTTTTGCCTTGGATTGAATTGTGAGATGCTAAACTTGTACTTTCCCCCCATCTTTTTTGGTTTGGTATGTAATTTGCATATTTTCACCATGCGAAAGCTATTTTCTATGGTTGGAAAAGATTTTTTTCCTTACAGTGTGAACAAATCATTCTTTGTTCTCCTTATTGTGCCTCCAAACTGGTACGTCCGGTTTATGCTCCAAACAACAAAAGTCTGTCATCAGAAATTAAAATGCCAGTAAGAACAAAGGCAGAGAGCCATGAGGAGCTATTGGAGAGGTTTCCTCCTTTCCCCAAGTAACCGCAGTTGCCAGGAAGGTGGAACATTGCTTGGTACACACTCTTTCCTTGTAGTTCTACCCTTGGATTTATTATTATTGTTGGTTTAAAAGTGAATTTACAGCTTCCGGTAATTTTATTCAGGATCTATAAAATCCTCATCTCAGAGATTCTTTGCCATTTTCAATAAGCTCTCTTTAAGAAACCTAAAAATCACTTTGAAAGCCTGTAATAAATGTAATAAGTTTTGACACTTATTTGAGAGCAAAATTACCAGTGAACATCCTGCATAAAACATTAGAGGCAATTGAAGACGGCAGCTAAAACGGTGCCTATAAGGACATATCCATCCTCTCTGTGTCCTTTCTAAAATGTGCCCATCTTATCTGTTTTAGCTCTGTTAGCACCGTCTCTGTTCTGAAATAGTCCAATACAGAATTTGCACACACTGAAGAGTTCTCTGGGAAGTTTGACATTTGTGACTCCCTTAGGACACTTCAGCATTATGCTTGTAGCAAAACTTTTTTTTTTTTTTTTTTTTGCTTGTAACAAAGTTGACTTTAACATATTCACAGATATCTATAAATAGTGACAATGTTTCTTCCCCTTTTCCTTATTTTATAAGTAAAGCTTCTAGGAGCTTAACTTAATGGCAATAAAAGATGGGTAATGAATATGAGGAAGCATTTTATAATCAGTCCTAATGTGTTTTTTTCTCTACCTGTTTCTGTACATTCAAAGAGGAGTTTAGAGTAGAAGCTAGCATTTAGGTTTGTTTTGAAAGCCATTACTTTGAAAACCATTGAGTGTTCAGATTTCAAAATGTTTTTCTGTATCAAAGTAAGCTCTTGTGTATCAGTCTAGTGATAACAAACGGTTGTTATATAGTGAGTATGCCAAGACAGGTTTGTTTTATTTTTTATTGTTTAGAGTAATTTAGTACAGCAGCTCAGTTAAATTTGATTAATTTTTTTAAAACTTCAGGGCTCATAGAACCAAAAATTAAGTGCTAGACTTGTGGCATATGAAAATAATAGTATAGAGTAGATTTTGTGTTGGAATACAGTGATTTGTTATAGGTACAAATCTTATTTATAATAGTGAGAAGTGGTTTTCATTACTCTTAACTATAATTTCAAAGCAAATTTTATTTTTTATTTTCTTGTTAATAGAAATAGTATATGTATTGAAGAAGAATATTATTTATCCATTGCCCAGCAGACAATTTATTTTCAAAAAGTAAATGATTTATCATTTGGTGGAAGGAGCCAATAATGCATCTATAACATAATTGGATTACATTCGTGATAAACCTTTTAGTCATAGTGTGCTTAAAATGAGAGATTGTGATTTCCAGATTTCAGAAAACGAGTAATTACTGTTTTGGGTGCTGAACAAATTGACTTTTAAAGGCTTTTTCTAAATTTTAAATTTTATTCTATAATAAAATGTAGACTTAAGAGCTGCAGTATGTAATGGCGATGGTTTTCATTAGTGTTCACAGAGGAATGAATATGTAGAGAGGAAAATTCTTATAGTTTGCTATGCTGAGTTTATAGCCTTTGTGTTTAATTGGTGATAGGTGGTGCTGTTGTTGCATAGTTGGTCTGAAGAGCCAAGCATTCCTTATATCTCTGCATCCCAGGTGCTGTTAGAAGGACTTGTCATTGTGGTCAATAAATAAGTTGTAATAAGTTTTATAAGCAAAATGAATATGATGGCTCTTTAGGCATTACCATAATTTAACATTTATAAGAAAAAAATATTTATAGGTTGCTGCACTTAAATTCTCATAGAAAATGAAGATCTAAAAAAGTAGTTAATCTAAAAGGCAGCTGTACAAATTTATAGTTTAATATTGGAAGAGTTATAAGCCTTTTATTTTATAATAGATGCACTGTTGATATTTTAAACTGCTTGTCTGGCAGGCCTATTTAAAAAAATATACCATCAGCATGTTTCCTCTATTGAATGTTTATCATTATTATATCTGTTTAAAGTTCTTGAGTATTTAGAACTAGTTGTATAATGTTTGCCATTTTCCCTATTTGACATTACATATTCCATCAAACAATTGACAATTATGAAAATGTATTGGGGAAGAAAATGAAAATGTAATAGGAACTACATTACCACTTAAAGTACTCTGGAAGGCCTTTCTTAACTAATTCACATTTAATCTATTCAATATTTCAATTAGCAGCAAACTTTTTTCTTGAGCCACTAATTTTGAAAAACAGTTTTGCTTTTTTTACACTTGACACATGTATTAGCATATTCCTTTTACCTTTGTTTTAATAGATTGCTATACTCTATATAATCTGAGGAATAAATCTGATATGACTCAAAATAAATGCTCATTCATTATGGTGTTATGTGTTTACCAAAAAAAGTAACATTTAATGAAGTTTACATGTTAATTTTTTATTCATAGAATATTGAAATTAGAAGTATCTTTGTCTTTTAGCACCTTTAGCTTCTCAGTTTATAAATGTAAAAGAATAGGTTTATGGGAGGTGGGGGAAGTGGGAAGATGTTAGTCAAAGGATGCATTGTTGGTAAGTCCAGAGATCTAATGTTCAGTCATGATGACTATAGTTGACAATATTGAACTACGTACTGGTCTGCGGTCTGAAAGATCCCAGATTCAATTCCGGTCAAGGGCATGTACCTTGGTTGCGGGCACATCCCCAGTAGGGGATGTGCAAGAGGCAGCTGGTCGATGTTTCTCTCTTATGGACGTTTCTAACTCTCTGTCCCTCTCAATTCCTCTCTGTGTAAACTCAATAAAATATATTTTAAAAAAATGCTAAGTAGTAGATTTCAGGTGCTCTTATCACACAGTAAAGGTAACTGAGGAGTTGTCTGCAGTAATCATTTTACTGTGTATATGTATATTGAATTATCCTGTTTTACTTCTTGAATATATATAGTTTTTATTAAAAATATGTTCAGGAAAGAAAAAAGGACATAAAAAATGTGTATGGAAGTCAAATGATTTACTCGAGGTGGTTAACAGCCAGTTGCAGAACCATAACTGGTAACTAGGTCATTGACATTTCACTTTAGCATTCTTTACGATATATTTTGCTTTTTCTCTTTTACAACATATTTTTGAAATTTACTGCAACATTTAAGATCTGCTTTTCAAAAAACCATAGTTGCTTTAGAAAGAACATTTATAGTAGTTTATTAAAGATTAAAAATTATAGACTTCCAGACAGACCACATGTTCTACCATTCATATCAAGTGTATGCTCTTACAATATTAATGATAACTTAAGTTATGGTATACTTAATGTATATGATTAACCATAAATGTGTATGAGTGTGTTCATATAGACAACAAGTTACGATAACATTTAGGAGATCTCATTTTCATATATTAATGTCCTGACCTGTGTTTTCATTTACTGAATTTTTTTTTGTCTTCTCTTACAGATCAGTGGGGAAGCACAGGAGCTCTTCTCTGTTCGCAATGGCCCAATTCGGGCGGCCAGGATCTTGCCTGCTCCACAGTTTGGTGAGTGTAGCCCTTAAGAAGAAACAAATCATTCAGAACATTTCTTTTATTGGTCTTGGACTACAGACAGCAAGAATGATAACTAAAGTCTGTTTTCTCCCAAGTGTCTATACCCCTTCTCCTCTTCCCCCCAAAGATAAACTTTTAGTCCCGTCAGTTGAGATGGAAATAGGTAATCTTAACCAATTCAATATGGCCATTCACTTTCTGCTGTGTTTTTGATTTATCTTCATCCTCTTTGATCTTGATTTAGCCTCTGAGTTGGCTGGCTCTTTCTTGAAGGCCTCTTCTCTCCTGGTTTTCATGGCATCGCTCCTCCCAGGTCCCTTCCTCGCTGACTGTGCCGCTTTTGTTATGTTTCTGGTTTAGCTTTCTTCTCTGGGCATTCCCCAAGTCTCTGTTGTTCTTGTGTCTTAACTCCTTTTCGAAGTTACACCACCTGCCTTGGAGAGCTTGGTTTTTCATCATTGTCTTGATTAGAGAGGAGTCTGCTCTCTGCATTTCCAGCTATGTCAGAAGTACAGTTTCTGGCTTTTGACCTTTGATCTCTGCTTTAATAATGAATACTTCTTAATGTTGATTTACATATCATATTTTATTTTTACTTTTTACAGAATCAAGCACATCTTAAAATTAAATCTGCTATTTGGATGCCTATGTAGCTCCTGACTCTTTAATGATGTGAGCTTTCTAAGGGTTGTATTTTCTCATTAACTCATCTGTGATCACTCAGCATTTTAGCATGTGCACTAAAAACAATCCTACTAATTATTATATGCATACTATGAAATCTTTTTTAAAAGGTTATTAAGATATTTTAATTTATGTTTTTAAAACTTGATGTGTTAGATCTTTTTTAAAACATAAACAGAAGTTGGGAAATCTTCCTTCTAATACTTATTTAAACGGGTATTAATACTCTAGATTGGTGAGAATGATGTTTATTAAAACTACCAGGAGATGTTTATTAAAACTAATGTTAGGGATTAATGTGGTGATTAAATCTCAATTGAAATGAAAAGAAGGTAGTAAGACAGTAGTATCCTGAAGTCATGTGGACATTTTTCTTTTTGAATTTTTTGGCATGTACAGATTTCAACTCTCTTTTTCTCCATCTCTCCTTTGCACTCTCACTCTCTTGCTCCTATTTCTGATGTATTTATGTTTTGGCGAAATCTTTTGACAAAGAACATTATTATTTTTGGAATATTATTATCTTTGCTGGTTAGAATCAAGAAAAACTTTATTACTAAATGACTGTGCTAAGTCTTTGTTTCTTTTGTATGTAATTGACAGAGACAAATTTTTCTTCCTTCATTTCATTTATGTAGCTCTTTTGTCTATGTCAGTTCTTCAACTTCTTCAATTTTTGCTTATGTGAGAGTATAAAGCTATAAAAGTTAATATTACTAGAATTTGTTATGTTTAATTTACTTTGTCTAATTGAAAAAAGATTCTTCCATCTACTGTAATATGCTTACTTTAAAACATAACAGATTTAAAATATAATTTCATTCATATAGCTAAATGTTCTGTTATGACTTGCAAAAATAATATGTCTCATGGTTAATTTTTGTTTAATTTTTTTAAGATTTGTTATAACTGATCACATAAGATTTATAATGGAAAAATGAGTACCCTTTGTCCATTTTGCTTTGTGTGCTCATTTTGATGGGATAAAGTCCTTAAGAAATTTCCTGGAAAAAAACCCAAAAGGATTTGTATTATATCTTCTTTTAAAATTTCTTTATTGATTAAGGTATCATATATTTGTCCTCATCCCCCTATTCTCATCCCAAATCTCTCCCCACATATGCCCCCACCTCCCTGTAGTCCATGAGCACTGGTTAGGCTTATATGCACGCATACAAGTCCATTGGTTGATTTCTCCCCCTTCCCTTCCACCTCTCCTGAGGTTTGATAGTCTTATCGATGCTTCCCTGTCTCCGGGTCTGTTTTTGTTCATCAGTTCATGTTGTTCACTATTTCCCCTAGATGAGTGAGATTGTGTGATACGAGAAATACACTTATAAGAACCGAAAATGATGTGTTAGATCTTTTTAAAATATGTTTTTTTTGATTTTTAAAAAAAGACAGGTACCAAGTAAGAGGGAAGGAGGAAGGGAAGGATGGGGAAGAGAAAGAAGAAAAGAGAGAAAAAAAACATCGATTGGTTGCCTCCTACATGCCTCCTACTGGGAATCTAGCCCTCAAACAGGGCATGTGCCCTGACCAGGAATTGAACCAGTGACATAGCAGTGCATGAGCCAATGCTCAACTAACTGCACCTCACTGGCTGGTACTGATTTGTGGTAGCTCTTGTTTGTCTGTAGATGTCTTTATTCTTACATATTCTTGGTTGATACTTTGGCTGGGTAATAAATACTTGTTTTTAAATAATGTTACTTCATAATTTTGAAGGCATTGGTCTGATGTTGTGGTTGAAGAATCTGAAGCCACGTTGATACCTTTTTCTTTGCAATTGGCTTATTTTCCTCTGTGGCATCCAGTATTCTGAAACTTTTCAGTTTTATTTCTTGGTTCATGGATTGCCCTGAGCTCCTTCAGTGTGGAAATGTAAGGACTATACATAATTTTGAGAAAATTTCTTACATTGCTTTTTTGATAATTTATTTTCCTGTTTTCTTTTGGTTCTCTCTTTCTGGTACTGTATTATTTGGCTGTTACACTCCCTTATAATGATTAATTAAAAGGTAATTTGTTTCTTGTTCTTTTGCAAGATTGTCTCAATGAGGATTACTAATTAAATAATTCTACTCTGCCGTCATGATTTTCTTTTTTCTTTGGTAATTCTTTTTTTTTTTTTTTAAATATATTTTATTGATTTTTTATAGAGAGGAAGAGAGAGTAGAGAGTTAGAAACATCGATGAGAGAGACATCGATCAGCTGCCTCTTGCACACCCTTCACTGGGGATGTGCCTGCAACCCAGGTACATGACCGGATTTGAACCCAGCACTTTTCAGTCTGCAGGCTGATGCTCTATCCACTGAGCCAAACCGGTTTCGGCATGGTAATTCTTTTATCCTCATCTTTTCATACCCATGCACCCCTCTTTCCCTCCATTTCCCTTTCTCTCTCCTTTTTTCCTTGGTATAATTTACATATAATTACTACCAAATAGAATCCAGTGATACCCTGTTTCCCCGAAAATAAGACAGTGTCTTATATTGATTTTTGCTTCTAAAGGTCTTATTTTCAGGGGATGTCTTATTTTTCCATGAAGAAGAATATGGTACACATTTATTGTTAAATGAAACTAAAGGAAATTTATTACCTGTATAAAGTACATTAGTACAGTAGTTGTCAACACAAACCAGACAAACTATGAATCCTATAGTATCAAGAATTTACTCATTTATTCAATGACAATCATGTCATCATCTTTTGGAACATCATCATAGCAATCCAATTCCTGAATTTCCTGGTGAATTTCTTGTGACTCCATTTCTTTCAGAATCAGTGGACCAAATCTCTCATGTTTAGCCTAGGGGGGCCTTATTTTCAGGGGATGCCTTATATTTCACTCGGAAACCTGTAAGTAGGTCTTATTTTCAGAGGATGTCTTATTTTCGGGGAAACACGGTATATGAAAAGAATTACATATCAGGACCAATTAACAGATTTTCCAGGACTACAACATTGGTCAACATTTGAAAAAAGTTTTTATAATTCACCATATCAACAGAATGAAGAAGAAAACCGTAAGATCATCTCAATAGAAGTGGGGAAAAACCATTGATAAACTTTGATAGCCATTTATGATAAAAAACAAACAAACATCTTTCAGCTAATTAGGCATAGAAAGAAACATAATCAGTATGATAAAGATTATCTATAAAAATAAATCTCAAGCCAACATCATACTCAATAGTGATATGTTAAACACTTTCCTGTGAGTTTGGGATGGCTTCTATCACAACTTCTATTTACCAAAGAATGCAGGCCGTAACTATTATAATAAGGCAAGAAAAATAAATAAAAACTAAATATTAAGAAAAAAATGTGAAATCATATATATACACTTTAAATTTGTTCTATGTTATGATTCTTCCTCAATTATAATGTATTTATTTTTTGGAATCAGTGCCTTGCATGCTATGTGGAATATGAATGATGCCCCCAAAGATAATTTATTCAGTATTTTACAAAAGAGAAACCAGAATTATATATTTTTAAATTTAAATTGAGTTCAGAGAGGTAGGGAGAAGGAGAGAGGGATAGAAGCATCAATGATGAAGAATTATTGATTAGTTGCCTCCTGCATGTTGAGCCTGAAACCCAGGCATGTACCCTTGACTAGAATCTAATGCGGGACTCTTCAGTCTGTAGGCTGATGCTTTACCCATTGAGTCAAACTGGCTAGGGCTAGAACTATACTTTTGGGTAAATAATTTTTAAAAATCATATGTCAGTGACCACATGGGTAACACTGTTTTGACTCTTAAGCTTATAACTAACTCTATTAGGAATTATATTAGGCTTGCATTCATGCAGAAGGATGATCATTTTGGTCTTTAATCTGAACTAGATTTTTGAGAAATGCAGATTCAACCATAGTTGTCATTTTTAACAGTCCAATGTACTGAGTATCTGAACTTTCTCCATTTAAGAACAGTTTAGAATAAATTCTTATAAGCTAGGGCCTTTATTCTGAGACCAGATGGATTCTTTGGAAACAGTATTCCCAAGTGTCTATGAGCCAGATTTTTGTACTCATCCAAAACACTGGGTAGCCAACTTGGCTTATTTTTTTCTAGATTATTTCATTGGACATACTGCTGAAAAGCTACTATGATTTTTCGTTCTGTTATCCAAAGAATTTGCAATTTCACATCTCAAAAAATATTAAAAGTTTAAGAAAACTTTAAATCCATTCCAGTTTTTTTTTTACTGAAATATAAATGCCAACTATTTTCTGGAGCTTGTAATGTACACAGTCCAGCCATGCAGTTAAAAATACTAGTTGTTTCTGTTTCT